ATAATGAATATACACTATTATTGTAAAATTATTACTAATAAATATAACTTTGTTGATAGTTATTTTCTATAATTATTAATTGATATAAGTGAAATTAGTTATTTACAATATTATTTAGTTATTGAAATAATATTGTTATTTAAATTCTTAAAATATTAATTACTATTGAATTTAATAATTCATAAAATTATGATTGTACTATTATTACATAATTCGTTATTAATTTTTTAAAATTATAAATTATTATTAATATGAATATTATGAATTCTATTATAATTACTTTTCTACTTTTAAGAATTTTTTTAAATTTATTACATAATTCCGTTATTTTAACTATTTAAAATTTTGTCATGTTAAATATTTTGTTATTTAAATATTTAAATAATATGTAAAATATTTAAAAATCTTCATTATTTGAATTTTATTTATTTTAATGTTATCACATAATATTAAATATTTTGTTATATTATTTAACTATTTTTAATGTTTTTTTATTTAAGATTTTTAGTTATTGAAATATTTAAGTAATGTTTATTTTTTAATGTCAAATTTTTGTTATTTGAATAACATTTAAATTGAATAATTCGTAAAATTATAATTTATATTGTTACTACATAATTTCATGATGAATTTTGTAAAAACATTGAATTATTAATAATATGAATATATGAATATTATGAATTCTATTATAATTATTTTTCTACTTTTAAGAATTTTTTTTTAAATTTATTACATAATTTCGTTATTTTAACTATTTAAAATTTTGTCATGTTAAATATTTTTTTATTTAAATATTTAAATAATATGTAAAATATTTAAAATTTTTCATTATTTGAATTTTATTTATTTTAATGTTCTTACATAATATTAAATATTTTGTTATATTATTTAGCTAGTTTTAATGTTTTTTATTTAATATTTTAGTTATTGAAATATTTAAATAATCTTTTATTTTTTAATGTTAATTTTTTATTATTTGAATAACATTTAAATTGAATAATTCGCAAAATTATAATTTATATTGTTACTACATAATTTCATGATGGATTTTGTAAAAATATTGAATTATTAATAATATGAATATTATTAAATCTATTAATTTTTTTTGTGTTTTGAATAAATATTTTAAATTTATTATCTAATTTCGTTATAACATTTAAATGGTTCTGAATTTTTTTAATTGAAACTTTCTTTAGATAGATATAGATAAAAAGTGGAGGAGAGGATAAATAGGAATTAGATATAGTTTTGGAGAGAATCTTTCTACTAAATTAGAGATAATTTAAGAGATAAATAGGAGTTAGAGATAATTTAGGAGATAAATAGGAATTAGAGACAATTTAGGAGGAAGCGGGGGAAAGTGGTGTCACTTGGCTACTTTCTTTATGGTTGTTAGAAATAGTTAAGCATATGTGATTTCCTTATTGGTTTAATGGGTAATTATGTGGAATTAAAAAAATAAAAAAGTCAAAAAAACAGAAAATTAGGAAGGGGTTTTGAAGCAAGGAGAGGTACGGTGACGTGGACAGACCAATTTTAATATATAGATAGATAGATAGATAGAAGCTGATAAAAAGCAATGGTTTTGCTTTTATAAAATTCCATATCTACAGAAAATCCAATACTTGTTGCATAAGAGTACCTAGGGATGACATCAAAACACTAATCAATGCCGGGGGAAGGGAAGATAGAAAATTGACATAGTATGATAGTAAAAAGATGAAGAACATAAACATCAAACTAGATACCTTCAAAGAAGCTAGCTCCCGCAAACCCATTTCAACTGAAAGCATACTTTCAATACTGCCTTCTCCAGTTAGATCACTTGAATCCCGTACAAGTTTAATCCTTTTCTCTGGATCATCACCACCTGTTCAGTGTTTTTAAATCTTATATGACTGTTTGGCATGATAATGTATATCATCCATGAAAGGAACATCAATACTCAAAATTACCCAGATTCAACCTCTCCCACACCCTCCAAAGAAAAAAGAATGAAGAAAAACAGAAGCACAATATGGGAAGGATCAATTGTGATATGATTAACCTTGGCTCCAAGACTCTTCCTTAGCCTTTTGTCCAGCAGAAATCACAACTTCAAAGGGAAGAGGTGCTAATGATGACCAGTGTTCATGCTTTGACACTGCAACATCTGCACATATACCTATAAAGAAACCGTGTGGAAAAGCAAGTTAGATGTAAGCATGTGACTGGATGAATTGTAAATACACCAACCAGCACAAACTCAAGAAAAGAGGAAACACTAGCCAAAAACTAAGTAAATAACAATAATACCAACTTTTAACACTAAGCTTGATAGAATGAGACTAAATCCTAAAAGCCTTGAAGAATAGTATAATATTGCAAACCATAATATATTAAATTCTCAAAATGGTGCAACAAGCATATTACCATAACGTACAGCTAAACACCAATAGCGAGCAAGCCAACATCTCTTAAGAACAACTTCTTCCTGGAATGAGAACCAAAATAAAGTCAGAGCATCAAAAATCAAAATTTGCATGTTACATAGTCTACAAAAAGGTGCAAGAAATGGACCATCTCTTCCTGAGTTAAAATCATTCTATGTGTCATTGAGCGAAGAGATTTTGCTTCAGATTCTGCTTCTCGAAGCTGTTCTACAGATGCTACTGCCTCATCTTTTGCATTCTGACCCAAGCAAAAAATAAAACATTGAAACAAAGCTGTACAAGCATAAACGGCTTGATTTTATTTAGCAACAAAAGAGAAAAATAAAGCAAGGACCATTCAAATAGATTACTATGCTCTACCTCAAGTTCTGACCGAAGAGCCGCAATCTCTTCATCTCTCCCCTCCTTGGTTTGCTTTGCAGCTTTAAGAGCAGCCTGACACAGAAAAATTATGTTGACACAAAGTAACAAAAGTCCTAGAACAATGAATCCCCAATATTTCTGTATTGCACAAGAACACTATAAAAAACAACTAATACTCATTGTGGCCAAAGATCCAAAATTTCATTATCATTAGAAAYATCATCCTGTAGGGGTATAGGAACAGAGATATTTTAAGGACACTTCACAAGCATTATATGTAGATGTAAAAAGATGGGGGAAATATGGAAATTTTCAATGGAAATAAAAGAAAAGTTTAATTTTTGTTTTTGTAAAGAAATGTTTAATTAAGCTGATAAAAAAAAGACATGTTTAATTAATCATAATAAACATTAACAATTCAAGAAACCATAGATGATGCATAGGTGTAGTAGTAATGGAATGTTAGAAAATTATAAAACGCATCATTAYGCACATATTTCAATCTCCAGGAGAAGGCTAACTTAGAGGTCCAAATAGGACCTTAAAAAAATAGATTTCAAGGATAACCTTCTTTGAACTTTATAGGCTTACCTAGAAGGGTGGTAGTATGGGACTAGAATGAGGCAATGGCCATTGAGGTGATGGAGGCCTTCTTAGGGGGGCTAGGAACAATCAGGGACAATGAGGATGCAAAGGTGTATGGATGCAGATCCAAGTGAGATTTTTCAGTCATATTTTCCTTTTCTGTTTTGCTAAGAAAAGACAACTATGCTCCTTGGTGAAGCATTCTGTCACCAATAACTACCACAAATATCACCTTTTCATGTGGAAAATGATATTAGCAGGTATATTGACAATTGGTCAATTTATCTGTAGGAGTATTAAGAATTTATGCCATCAATGACAAGCCCATGCTTAAGTATTATAAGAATGGTGATTGTCTTAAGCACGAACTGAGCACATAAACAAAAGGCTGCAAGGTAGACAAAATTCTACAAGCAGACGTCTTCATAATGGATTTTCAATCAGTGCAAAAGTTCCTGATGTTCAAACCTGAACACCCCTTTCTTTTTGTTCGGTAAGAACCTGAGTACTCCTTTTAAATTGTCAAGCTTATGCCAAATTTATTTCAATCGGTACACTTTCTTGAACAACTGGCCAGAATCCAATAATTCAGGAAAGTACTGCAAAGCTAATTCTTGAACTGTTGGGTTGTGCTCCATTGTGACCTGGGTGACCAGGGTTCAATCATGGAAACAACCTCTCTGTATGTACAGGGGTAAGGTTGTGTACATCTGTCCCTCCCCAGACACCACAGGGGTAAGGTTGTGTACATCAATTTCAGTATGTTGGGAGTCTGCAGAAGAAAAGCAATTGAAGCATCTTTGACAGCAAAAATAACCTTTTACCTTGATCATTATCCACTGGAACAGTCACAAGTTTTGTTAGGGACTCAGATTTACAAGTTTTGATAGGGATTCGCATCATGTTATTTTTATTAGCTATACACTATGATGCCATATATGGATACTAACAGAGATAAGGAAACTGGAAATGAGGATACTCTTCATTTCCTGAAGTTCTCCCAAAGTTCCAGACATGGATACAAGTACATGTATCCTAGCTTTTATATCTAGTTTTTCAAGCTAAGGTAATTTTTGAAAGTCTAAATTCTTGCTACTTATGTCTGCAACTAACCAAAATAAGTAGTTATCCCCCTTTGTGTTTGGTTGAACCTCTTATAGTCCCCTTATATAGCAATTTTTCTCTGATCTGTAAGTGCTCAAATCATCATTTAGTTCAGCATATAGACATTTCTTATACTCTTTTAGCTTTCAAAACTTTCACAATGACAAGAGTACCACTCATACCCATGTTCAAAGAGAAAAAACTGCAATGGCCACCCATGCAGACTGTTAAGATAAAAAAATAAGTTCTTATCCCAACAAGATCCTATTAGATTTCAAATGTATCAGACTCCAGACTTCCAAATATCACCTAAGCATAATTGCATAAGATGCCTTAAAACATATAACTTCTTATTGTTAAAAAATACCATTTCACATATTTTAAGCTATATAGCATATCTAGAAGTATCCATACACTATCTGATTCTGTTGCCCTTGCAGAACAATTTTATGCGAATATAAATTAACTATCCTTATTTAAAGAATTTATAAAAAGAAGGCATCAATAGCCTGCTGAGAATATATGATCATTATCATGTTAACATTGAGTTTATCCAATAAGCATTCAACAGAAGTGCATAGATCTGAAAAATTAATTCAATAAAACCAACAGATCTAGATGCAATGTAAATATTTAATTTTTTGATAAGCATTAGAAGCAGTCAATATTTTGAATGCTAAAGAAAGGAATCAATTCCAGGTCAGGGGTTTGAACACCATCCTTTAAAGGGAGGGAATAAGAGACAACCTTATCACCTTTAAAATTAGGGCCGTTTACTTATGAATTTGAAGGGGGGGGGAGCAAAAAGAGTATATTCTTATTGTCCTAGAGCAAACAATCATTGAATTACTTAAAAAATGGATCTGATGTATATTATGAGATAAAATAATTTTTTTTCATGAGATAATTTTCAGGCATATTCCTTATGGGGTTTGAATCCCCAAGACAAAAGGAGAAACTGTGGATAAATAAATAAGAAAGGGAAAACATTGGGGATATTGCAAACAATGACTGTGCCATAATTTAAAGCTTATATTCTATATAATCAAGTCAGAAATAATACCATCATCAACTAAGATTCTGATTAACCACTACTTGCTTATATATTTGGAAACAAATATAATTAAGTACCCCATATTTACCTCTCTCTGGCGTAATGCTGCTTCTTTTCTGCACATGACCACATAAGATGTCATAGCCTTGAAAATGAAACATTATGCATAAATTTACATCTAAATCCCAAAATTACCTGCTCAACAATTTAGCTTCTAGAGACACGCCTTCTCCAAGAGCAGCAACCTATAAGCAAATGATACTTATAAATGTTAGGTCTGTATCCAGTCCAGCCATCACAAGACCCCAGATAGCTGGGACTAAAAGTGGGTAATGGCCTTTTATATACATGCAATCATGAATAAGTGATTAACACTTGTGCTTTGATGGTCTAGCCTTTGCACATTTTACATTAAAGTTTTCTTGTTACCATTAAAAAATAATGAGTAAGTATGTGCCAAGCTACAGCCCTTGGGCAGGGCAGGGTCCATCAAGGCCAAAAACCAAAACTCAACTTCTGGACCTAAATTGAAACTTGGGCCTAGCCTTAATCAAGTTGCACTTAGGGCTAGGCTGGATTGGGTTCATACACTTGCAATCCAAGCTGTAGCACTAGCTTTAACCTCCTTAAACACTTCTACTGTTATACTAAGACTCCCTAAAAACTAACCTAAAATGAGTGTATACCATAAAATATAGAATAGATGGTTCCATTAAATGGTACAAGGTTCAACCAACTATTAAAGAGTACATACAGATATAAGGTATTAATTACTTGGAGACTTTTTCTTTTGTTACCAAGATGAACATCATTCATGTTTTGATATCCTTAGCTGCACATTTCTCATGGCCTTTATACCATATAGATGTCAATAATGCTTTTCTAAGTGGTGACCTACAGGAAGAAGTTTATATCGAACAGCCTCTTAGCGTATCTATTCCTAAAAAAGAGGGGAAAGTGTGCAAACTCAAGAAATTAACCTATTGACTCAACCATTCTCCATGAGCTTGATTTTACAGATTCGAAGAGAAAATTTAGAAGGTGGGATTTGCTCAATCACCAATGACATACTAATAGCATTCTCTTCTTTAAGAAAGATGGTATAACTCAATAACTATTTTGTGCATTTGGATGACATTGTAATGACTAGGAGTAGTATGTTTGATATCTCCACATTGAAACAATACTTGGCTACAAAGTTTGAGAACAAGGATTTTGGTGAGCTCAGGTGATTTTTGGTCATAGAAGTTTCAAGGTCTAGAAAGGGCATTTTCATCTCTCAAAGTATGTTCTTAACCTGTTTAAAGAATCTAGCAAGTTGGGTGCTAAACCAGCTAACACTCCTATGGATCTAAATCATAAGATTGGTGGAAGTAATAGTGATGTGTCAGTTGATAAAAGAACATATATCTTTGTTTGACTCAACCAGACATCTCTTATGTTGTCAGTGTGGCCAGTCAATATAAACATCAGCCTTGTCTTCCCCATCTAGCAGTTGAAAGAATACTATTTTACTTGAAGAGTACTCCTGGTAGAGGCCTGTTGTATGCTCTACATAATTACCTTGGCTGAAGCCTATAATGATGCTGATTGAGCTAGGTCAGTTGGTGACAAGAGATCTACTTTAGGGGGGGTGCACATTTCTTGGAGGTAATATTGTTTCCTGAGGAGTAATTTGTGACTTTGTATTCTCTGTGATATGCTGTTGATTAACGAAGCAAAATGATAGACAGCACAAAAACTTCCTCAAGGTGAAACTCTCTTCATTGTTCTTCTTAGTTTACTTTCAACATGTCTAGAGCAACCACTTTCTCTACTTTATTGTCCAATTTACAGAAACATGGTAATTTGGTACCAGAGAATAAATAACTACAACTGGGGAGTGGGGAGGAACATGCCTGGCACCTACCTTCCACATAGAGGCAGCCTCCATCCCTGTTGAGTTACTTGCCTTACTTTTGGAGTCTACTGCAGACAATTTTTTCTTCCATATGTAAAATGCCTAAAAGCTAGCTATACTGACAATAAGCTGGGGGTGGGGGTTTAGCATAATGGTGTTCTACTACTACCTACTAACAGACATTTTAAAAAACAAATTATTCAATAAATACATATTATATTGATTCTTTATTCCAATATTAATTAAAGTCAAGTTATCCATCAAAAAGTTATTAAATAAATAAATAAAATATCAAGACTGATTATTCATGGGATGGAAAGACTTTACCAAATAAGAAATGGAGCCAATCATATAACAAGACCTTATGCACAGCACTCATTAGAAATTGAAGGTCAGATTACTTCTAGATTGCCAGACTGCGAAATAAAAGAAAAATAACTACACAACAAAGAAGTAACCTGTTTCTCGAGCTCTCTAGCTCTTGCCTCAGCTTCCTCACATCTCTCTTCTGCAAGTCGGAGCTGTACAGAGGATTGCAACGTAAATATTATGTTTATTACAGATAATGTACGAAGCAAATGAAGTATGAAACCCTAACTTGATTTGGCAGAAAGAAAAGAAGGTAAAAGCATTAAAGTAACACACCTTCTCAAGAATGTTCTCATTCTCTTCTTGTAGCATATCAAGCTGCAATTTGAGCATGGCATCATCTTTAGTTTATACTTTATATTTCCAAATTTCATCAACAAATCACAATGTTATTTTCATCTTACATAAGCATTTTAGCAAGCTACCATGGTCCATGCATAAGCCCAACAGAATCATCAGTAATGATGGCTTTATTCATTTTCAGGGATGGAAATAAAAAAAAAAAAGGAATAGATACTGAAAGATTACATTAGTATACCTCATCTCGAAGTGCAGAAGCCTCACGCTCATTCCCTGTATCTTTTAAGTTAAGATGTCCCATCTCTGTTGTAAACCTGCAGTATGTCAATTGATGTTATAAAAGAATTTCATCTGTAGAAATGCAATAGCTCTTTTCCCTTTGGGAGAGCCTAACATTAATAAATTTTTTCCTTTTTACACAGTTGTATCCAAAGGATAGTTTTTTTTTTCTTTTCTTTTGGTTAAAAGTCCAAAGGATAGTTGAAGATACACACATGCATGGTGCACAAACACATATTCATATAAATCCAGGAAACCTTTGTTAAAAACAAGGAAAAAGGACTTGAAGGAGAATGACAAATATGGATAGTTGATCCTTATGCATGTTCAACAGCACTCCAAACTCAAAGATCTTGTATTCGTATTAACCTGGAATTTATTTTAATTAGAACTTTTCTTAGACTTGAGGTTTTATTTTCTTATGGACGGGTGTTACAAGAGCACATTAAAAATGGTATTGAATGAAGCTTCAAGTTTTCCTTTGAGATTTTTCTTTATTGCATGTTGTGGATTCCGATGTTTATTAACCAAAACAAGTTGATCATCATGTTCTTCATCCATCCACATCTACCACTTTGTCAACATAGCAAAAATATATATATTTAAGAAATAGGTCAGATTCTCACTGGTAATCCACCTGCAGATATAACCATTCTCAACATTTTCTACAGCTTCCTAACACATCATATCCACAGAAGAGAGATGCAGCACTGGATAAAATGAAACATATCAAAGAGACATCTAAGAAAACCAGAAGGCACATTACATCATTCTTGGCTACTCAAGCTCTGCAGGTCATGGGAAATACTTGAAAGCTCAGCCATTGGCTCGGGTCCAATGTTACAGATTAGTTTATTCCACGGGTCGGTACTTGAATGTAAAAGAGAACTTTCAAGTGTTCATTGGCTGGTTTTGGCTTATAGACTACAGAGGCAAGCTCTTGGCATTTAGGCTGTGCCTGTGTTTGGCACGCTTTTACAGAATTAATTCGGATGAACTTTGTGATCCTAAGAATCATTTTTAAGTTTGGATGTATGAAAATTGCTTGAACTAATTCTTCTTTCTGGGCTCAAAACTCAATCTGAGCATTGATTCTTTGGAATTAAAAAATTTATCTTCAAAAATAAATCATTTTTTGCTCAAAAATCATTCTTCAAGTAATGACTCTTTGGAGCAGAATTTTAACCAAACATAGCTAATTTCAGCTGAGAGAAACTAGACATTTATATTCAGCACTGAACTGCTCATTCAGATAGATTTCATGACCGACAAATGAGAATGCTGATTTTCTATCTAGGGGGAAGGATCATAGTGGAATAGAGATAACTGGTTTGGGGCTACATAGCCAGGGGAGTGTTTTGTGAGTGGATATCAGCCTTGTGGTGTTTGCCTTGTTTCCCTTTTCCAGTGCCTTTGGAAGGTTGGGAGTATGATTTTTCATCTCTTTAATAAAACTATGATTCACTGTTGATGATCAAAAAAAAGAAAAGAAAAGAAAAAAAAGACTGTGGGCTTAGCCCATAGATGTAGAAGAGAAACACATGCTTCAGTCCTCAAACACCAAATCCATGATCTAAAGAACAACATAAATAAGCCCACACTTACTTATGTTGGATTAAGGGTTGTGTCACTTCTTGCCATTATTCCATCCTTGTCAATGGAGTAGTTAAGGACTTCTTCCCAGCATGTAGGGGCCTAAGACAAGGTGATCCACTCTCCCCCTTTCTATTCACTCTTGTTGCTGATGTGTTAAGTAGATTGATTTCAAAAGCAGATAGGGAGGAGACTGTGAGTGGATGGAGGATAGGAAGAAATAGTGTTCCAGTGACTCACCTTCAATTTGCAGATGATACTATAATCTTTTGTGAAGGAAGTGATTTGAGGAAGGTACGGAACCTTGAGAATTTAATAAAATTTTTTGGAAGTGCCTCAAATCTGAAAATTAGCTTTGAAAAAAGTTGTTTGGTTCGAGTCAATATGGATGATCAAGAATTGGAGGCTATTGTACATTGCTTAGAGTGTTCCACCTCGTCTTGGCCCTTTAACTTATCTAGGTCTTCCCCTAGGAGAGTCGATTTTGGAACCCCACTGTGGAAAAGTTTGGAAAAAAGTTGTCAAGTTGGAAAAAGAATTATATCTCCACAAAGGGTAGAGTGACTTTGATCAGATCCACACTTGCTAATTTGCCGGTTTACTTTATGTCTGTCTTTAAGATTCCTACTAGAGAAGCTAAGAAGATAGAGAAGATGATGAGAGATTTCTTGTGGAAGATGGGGCAAGAGAAGAAGGATCATTTGATTAGGTGAGAGATAGTTAGTCGAAGTAAGGAAGGAGGACTAGGACTAGGGAATCTTACTCATAAGATTGAGGCTATTCTAGGTAAGTGGTTGTGGAGATGGTCCTTAGAGAGAGAGAGGTTATGGCATGCAGTGGTAGTGAGTATCCATAGTTATTCCGGAAATGGTTGGGATGCAGGGGTATCCAGATGGGCAACTCTTGTAACACCTTAGAAGGCAATTCATGGCATCCTCCCAATTCCTCCACTTCGTAAGGTGTGATGCTTGCTCTGGGACTCATGTTCTTTTCTAGGAAGACACTTGGGTGGGAAATTTGCCTCTCAAGGACTTGTTCCCCTCTCTCTTCTCTATTTCCCTTTATAAAAAAGAGCATGTGTCTACTTCACTTTTGTCCCCGTATACCCCTTTGTCTACAAATTGAGACCTTGGCTTCCATAGAGGGTTGAGGGATGAGGAATCCTTATCAGTTTCTAAGCTCTTTTTGTTACTTGATTTTGTTTGCTTGGACCCACTCAATTCTGATAGGAGAATTTGGACTTTGACTCCAAAAGGGTTGTTTACTTGTGCATCTTTCTTTAAATCCCTTTGCTCTAGCTCCTCCCCTTGGGCATTCCCAGTTAAAGAAGTTTGCTCTAGGCCTATTCCCCAAAAAATAGATGTCATTTGTTGGGAAGTTTACCACGGCAAAATCAATACGATGGATAACCTACAGAAGAAAAGACCTTTCTTGTGTTTATCCCCTAACTGGTGTACTTTGTGCAAAGCGTAGAATGAGGACTGTTACCACTTATTGATTTCCTGTCCCTTTGCTGCAGCATTTGGAATTGGGTATTTGGTTTGTTTGGGTGCACGTGGAACTTGCCAGCTGAGGTACATTAGTTGTTTTCTCCATCTACCTTTGTGTGGACCACGAGAAGAGGGAGAATTATGTTAAAGTGTATAAGAGCAGCTCTCCTATGGACTATTTGGGAAGAGAGAAATTCCAGAATTTTTCAGGAGAAGGAAAGAACCATTCTTGAGGTCAAGGAGTGTATTTTGACAAGGGCTATTTTGTGGCTGAAATCCTTAAAGCTCTTTGAAAATTACTCCTTCGATGATATAAGGAGGATTGGTCTGCAGTTGCCCTCACTTCTTCTAAGAAGCCTAGAATTTAAGTAACTTGGACTCCGCCAATGGAGGGTTTTTGTTAAGCTGAATTTTGATGGGTAGTCAGGGCAATCCAGGACCGTCTGGTATTGGTGGTGTACTGAGAAATGAGAACAGCAACATCCTTGCCCTTTTTTCGGGACCAGTGGGAATAGGAGACTCTGTGAGGGCTGAACTCCTAGCTACGAGACAGGGGATACAGATTGCTTATCAACTTGGAGTGCAGAACTTAATAATTGAAGGAGATTCCAAGGTGGTAGTAGGATGGTTGGCTGACCCGGGTATTGTCACTTGGGACCTTAAGGATATTTTGAAAAAGGTTAAATGGCTTTCGAGGGATATGATAGTTAGATTTCAGTGGGTGGGTAGATCGGCTAATGCCTTGGCTGATTATCTTGCTAAACAAGGGGCTACTCAGGTCTCTTTGTATTGGGCTTCTCTGTAATTTTCTTTGTCCTTTGTTCTGTTTATTAACTAAAGGGTTGATGGTATCCTCCACCTCCCCTCCTTAAAGGGGAGGTAGCATCTCATGCTTCTCCCTAAAATGTACTCTCTTTGTCTATGAATTAATAAATCTTACAATTCACTGATCAGAAAAAAGGAGCAACATAAATAAGCTGAAAACAGGGTTGGTTTTTGAGCCCCACAACCTTTTATTGAGCACTATTCGGTATCAAAGCAAGTCCTGCAAGAAGAATGTGACGAAATACCATACAACAGGATGGTGGATTTTTGTCATAAATGTTATGGGACAAAAGCATGGTTCCTTGATGATTTGCAAGGAAGTAGAATGAACAACTTCCATAGAACATCCAACATATGTTGCCAACAAGGTTCAAAGTATCAATGCTCTTAATACAAAATTGGCATACCAAGAATTTTTTTATCAGTATACCAGGAATTTATCTTGATCAAAACTCCTTTTTTACTTTTTGGGTTTGATAATTTGACAGGGATGTTTCACATCAGTTATTAAGGTTCAACACAATTGAAATCACCTAACTCCTATTATTGAGAGTATCAGTGACCCTGAAGATCAATACATATTGGTTGAAATGCACCAATGTGTTGCAGTTCTTTTTCTCCTTATTTTTTTCTTTCTTAGTATGCAATAGTTCATATAAGAATAGGAAGATACTTGTTTACCTTTTCTCTCTTTGCCTACTACTAGGAGGTTCTATGGGTGGTAAACTAACTGCAGTCCTCAGTGCTGTTTTACTTGGTGGTACCAATGGTGTTGTCCGAACAGATACTGATGGCCGTCCAGCCGACGTAGAGCGAACCGCTGTAGTAGCATGATCTAGATAGTTCCGACCTAACTAATTAAAACAGAAAAAAAAAACAAATAAGCGATCTGGTAATTAACAAAAGTATATCAGTATCAGTAAAATAACAAAATATGCACCATTTCCAAACAAACAGTGAGAAAATAAACCAATTAGCGTCAAGTTTAAGAACTATATCATCACAACCACACGCATTTTGCAACTTCCAATTGAAATTTCAACTCGACAGGGATCTGATCCAAATCTCACATCTACTCGATTACTAATTATAAAACTGATAGCCTATCCTCCACCAATCACATATCCCTCATGTACTCAATTACTGGTTGTCAAACCAAAAGAACTAAAAATTTTTCAACCAATTCCAATGCAGCAGAAATAACAAATTCAAATCACACCAAAGAACTTTCAATTAGGAAAGAAAAATTAAGAAACAAGAAATTTTCAAATATCCAACCCAAGACAAGATCCCTAGACCAGTGAAACTGCAAAAATAAACGTCACACTCAAGCAGAAAACCCATCTAGCATGCTTCAGCTCCGTAGAAACACCAAATTCAAATCCGATCTAATACCTTTTCCACCAATTTAATCAAAACCATATTAAAAACACATGAAAGTCTGAAAACCAATACTGTTTTGCTGAAAATACCGCAGGAGAGGGGGATCTAGTTGGCCTGGATGACGAGATCGCAGGTATGCTATTATTATTAACACTGCTGGAGAAAGACGACGGAAGAGGAGGAGCAGTGTAACGGAACCCTAAATCGTCGTCTTCATCGTCGTCGTCGTCGGCAGTGCGAGTTGCCATGACCTGTGCCAGCCGTGCAGCTGCGGCCTTGGCGGCAACGTTCTGAGTTCTCTTGATGTTCGAGAGGCCGGCCGCCGACGAGGTCCGAGAATGGTGGTGAGCCGGCGACATGGCCGGAGAGGACGAACCGGTGCTGCTCGAACCGCCACTCCGCTGCCGCGAGTAGACCGGACTGCCGTTCCGCCTCCGATCCATGCGGTGCTAAGTTGACTGATTTGGAATTTTGGATTGAGGGAGGGACAATGTCTTTGTTGATTTTGTTACTGGGGACAAGTGGGGTCAGAGTCGGAAGGAAAGATGTGGGACCTGGACCTTGAGGGATTGTGGCCGTTCGATCTCGGTCGGACGGAGTGTGTGTTCCAAGGGTGAGAACGACGAGGAAAGCAGGTCTAATGAGTTGAGCGCAATCGCTTGGCATCGAGAATATAGGTGTCGGCCGAAATGTTGGTGAAATCAGTCGAAATTTATCTTTCGGTAACTTGTCGGCGGCGATTTGCTCAAGTGGTGCGGTACGGGACAATATATTCATATTCATTGACTAGTGCTGATTGCGGGTTCGACTTGAATCGACCCGGCTAGTAATTGGGTTCGAAATGGACTCGGTTCACATTCGGAGTCGCGTATCATGGGGAAATGGGCTCCTAAGCGGGTCAAACACGGGCTCTCTGAACTTACCCTGTTTATGCGATTCACCCAATACAGGTGTTTGAGGTGAGGCAGAAGCGGGAAAAAAGATGCGTTTGGCACAAAACTTGAAGCACAATAGTGTTGTCGCACTAACATAAGTCTAAGTCTAGAGGTGGCAAATGGGTGGGTTGGGTTGGGTTGGGTTGGGTGTGGGTTGAGTACTAATCCACCCATATTGACCCACTAACCCATTGATCCACCCTAACTCACCCATTTGACCCTCTAATTCAATTTTTCAAATTATTTTTTTAATTTTTTTCTATATTCTAATTGCATAAAAACATACAATTGTAGAAAAAATACAATAAATGGCAAATATCTATCTATCTATCTATATTTTCCTTGTAAAACATCATAAATTGTAGAAAAAATTAGAAAACATTAGAAAATTAAATAAAAGGAAAGAGAAATTGTAAAATCATAGAAAATTAAGAAAATACTGAAAACATACAAATAATAAATTTTTTCAAAAAAATATATTTTCATCCAAAAAATCAGAAATTATAGAATAATAAATTAAATATAAAATCCAAAAAATTGTATATTTCAACCAAAAATAATAATCACAAAAAATGATAATAAAAATCTCTAGAAATTATACATTTCAGGTAAAATAGAAAAAATTATATAAAAATGATGAATTATATATATATATATATATATATTAACCAAAGAATAGAATAAAAGAAAATTAACAAAAAATAATTACAGGAAATGATTAAATAATAATCATCTGATCCTCATTATATATTTCAACTAAAATGATTTATAAAAAAACTAAAAATACATAAAGTATACAAAAGAATATCAAAAAAATTGGTCACAGTGGTGCCTCTAGATCAAATGGTCCCTTCGCACTCGCTTGCATCATCTTGCTCGCCCTTGTTCTCCTCCTTCCTCCGTTCAATCACCCTTGTTTCCCCTCCTTCCTTCGTTCAATCGTTGATATCACCTTGCTTGCCCATGTTGCTCCTTCCTCCGTTCAATCATCGGCATCGATCTTCTCCTTTGTTCCTGTCCTTCATCAGCATCAATATATTTGGAAGAAGGAAACATCAATGTTGTTGATTCAAAGCTCAGGGAGAAGGAATGCTGACAGTAAGTTTGAAACAGCATTTTGAAACCTTCATTTTTCCACTAATTCAATATCATGGTGCAACAATTAAATAGATTGGCATCATTGCTGGTGGAGGCGAGACTGACGGTAGTGATTTGAGCAAGAAACAACGCACTTGAGCAAGCCCTAAATAGTCAGAATGGTGGCAATAGGAGTGATTATTGGTGATTTTGCAAAGTCCTGACTGAGAAGAAGAAAATTGTCGAAGCATCTAAGTTAAGTCTTTAAGTCAAGGGTCAATGGGTAACCCTCGACCCAACCCCACCTTGACCCTAATGGGTTACTCAACCCAAATTAATTCATCATTAGAATGGGTGGGTCAGATAGGTTGGGGTCAAAATTGCCAGCCCTAAAGATAAGAGGTTCCAACACTCTCCTATCATGATTTGACATTGCACATCTCACCATGAGAATGGGACCCACCATGTATGAGAAATGCGATGAAAAATTATGTTGGGAGGGTATTGGGAGACTCCTCTCTTATTGGAGCGGAGGATTGAATTAGTGACCTAGGGGTGTTTTGATAGTGTGGATGAAAATTTTGGTGGTATGGATTAGTCCACATCACACCACATTAGACCAATCCACACTACACCACAATCCATATATGTTCTGAATTGTGGATTGGTCAATGTTCACAATCACAGTAGTGTTCTATAGGTGGTCCACACTTTTTGGTTCCATGTATTTTATATACAATTTATGAAGTGACCTACATGGTCGATCATAAAATGTCTAATTTTTGCATTTTATATGGTAAATAAATTGGAAAAATGCATCAATAATTGAATATTAACCAATACATATTAATTTTAACAAAAATGGTAATAAAGTAATTTAAAAAATAAAAAATAGTATTTTATTGAAAAAAAATAAAATTTAATATTTAAGCAAATGAAATAACAAATTATTGCAAGACAAGCATAGCATCAAATTATTTATGCAAACTAATAAAAAACAACAAAACATTGTTGTAAAACATTGCATAGGGGTGAAGGAGAGCTTTGGGCAATGGAGAAGAGCTTCAACGATAATATTGTAGGGTAAGAAAAAGTTGCAATGTATCTTATCAATAACAAACTGAAATAAACCAAGGACCAATTTCAGACATGAGATAAATGTGTGGGAGATATATTGAGCTATGGATAGGGCCAGACCATTGTATATTGTGAACTAATCCTGTCCACACCATACAAAACGTTGTGGTCACTCCGTGGCGTGGATTGAAACAAACCATCCACAAGATGACCACAGCTTTGAACACCACCCTAATCCTCTATTCAACCTTTATGAGTCTTGCTTAAATGACTGTTTTCATGGTTCAAACTTTAAACAAGCTTGCAAGGTGCCAACCTATTGGTTGGTAAGGTCTCTTGCTAGTGGTAGCAGAGACTTGGGATCGAATCCCGCCTACACCTGGTTTGGGGGGATTATGGGTTTGGGGATGGGCTATTCCTGTTGTATGAATTCAGATTCAATAAACACGATGAATGTTCATCAGGTTGTGGAAGTGGAACTTATGATGAAGTTCCAACTTCCACGCCAGTAATAAATTCATAGGGCCCACTGTAAAAGGTGCATATCCCATGTATTTTTTTACTCGCATGGAACCTTATCATTAGTTTCACAGCTCACTGAATAGTCGATCATGTTCAACTAATCCTTGCTACCCCTTGGAGCAAAAAAAAAACTCTATACAAGCTTTAACAAAACAAAAGCCCTAATAATACTTAATAAGCATTTCAATTACTTATACATTGAATCCATATCTGGTTACAATGCAGTTGCTGTTGGGATCAAATCCAAATTCTTATACTATTGAGCATTTCAAACACCTAACACCACTAGATGCCACATAGGACAAGCAAGATCATCCTCTTCAATAAAATTTATTTTTACAGTTCTTTCAATGCCTTTTCAATTCCTGCCAGGGATTTGGGTTACGTGTATGGGGATGTGCTACCCAACCCATGAAAAAAATTAAATAACCATTATTATTTTTGAATGCTAAAGTTGAATCACCTATGTATAAGGTTCAAAGTATCGACACATATYGACATATCGGCCTGTACCGGGCGATACGTATCGTTTCGAGAACTCCTTGATATACCCCTACAAAGGGTATATCGGGGTTCTGACTAGTTGAGGGGGAGGAGGAGCCTTAAACCGGCCCCCCTGAATTTTGAAAAAAAAAGTACCGATATTGCCCCTACATTGGGCTTATTGATATTTTGAACCTTGCCTATACGGTGTTAATGTTGTGACATTTTAATTTTCAACCTTAAAATGGGAACACTATCAAACAATGCATTCATTAGCTTTTAGCTACATGTTTACTCCATTTTGCAGCAGCCCTATATGGTTAATTTTTGTGCTTACAACTTGTCCATGAAAGAACRGCTTATTTTGAACACATGTTCATGCACTTTAGGCTTGGCTGAAACTTGGGTCGGGCTCGGGCTTAACTTTTGCCAAATTCTAAATGGATCCACGTGCACACGAAAAAGAGGGGAGGGAATGTTTCAAACGTGCCACATCAGCAAATGTAATATACATAATATATAAATCTAAAAATTAGTATAAATACATATTTTATCAACAAATAATGTATAATTATATTTTACATGTAATATATACATTATTTTATATTTAATTTATATACTTAATTTAGACTTTAATTTTTCCTATTTGGAAAAATGTTAAAAATTGTAATGTGATGTCAAAAATGGGGTTTTCAACACTTTGGGACACATATCTCAAAAAGTTCCCTGAAAATTAAAAAACAAAAAAACAAATCAGACATCCAATAAAATGGTTCAACCAAACTCTTCCAAAAGTTTGTAAATACACCGAGTGTGCAACCCATAACTTGGTGACTAAGTCAATGGTTCAACCATCTAAGTCAAAACAATATTTGACCAAGCCAACAGGTTTTTTTTACCAAACCGTCCCAGGTTTTAGCCAAATTGGACCTGGAATCATGGTTGACTGTTAGTTTGACGATCCAACCAGCCAAATCAACAAGTTGAAACATTGCTTTTAAGTCTCCAATAAAATGGGTTGGGATCCCTTGTTTTCCCACTCTGTCTCCCCTTGACAAGCCCTCACCCCTAATATGCAAATCTCAATGGGCTAACCACTTCATTTAACCTCTTTTTTGGCATTTTGACATTAAAAATAACAATATAAATGGATGGATGAATCTAGATCGTATTGGACTTACCACATGTTTTGTTCCTCGTACTACAAGTTAGTCATTTAGAGCTTTAGCTTTTTTTTTTTTTTTTTGTAGAAAAGTAGGACTTTTCCTAATATAACGTTGCAAGGGTTTTTAAGCTGAAAGTTGTTAGATAAGCATAGGATGGAGAGAAAAAGAGTGGGATCCTTTTGGCTGAATCATGCTTCCCATGTAAAAAAAGTTCATAGGTTGTTCAGGTTCTTCTCTAAACCTTGCATGATTAGTAAAAACCTATTCATAATAAAAATAAAATAATTAGGCTTTTAGCATGTGACTCATCAAAGACTATACCTGTTCACGGGTGGGTCGAGCTTTGTCTTTATATCAATAAAAAGGCATTTTATTTATATTAAAAGCCATCAAAACCCA